GCCTGCCCCCGGCACTGCCCCTGCCCGGACCCCCGCCCGCGTCCTGCCCGGGACCCCCGGCCGTCCCCTGCCCGCCCCGCCCCGTTAAGCGGCCCCGTTCCTCTCCCTGTGTGACCGAACCCCTCGAACGGGGGACACCGGGGCCGCCTGCTCACCTGTGTCACCACCGTGTCCCCGCTGTCCCATCACCGTGTCCCCACCGTCCCATCATCACCGTTTCCCCGCTGTCCCATCATCGTGTCCCCACCATCCCCTCATTGTGTCCCCGCTGTCCCCAGCCCCCGCAGTGTCCCCTCTGTCCCATCACCGCGTCCGGGAGGGGTCCGGGGGTCTGCGGGGGCTCCTCCTGCCGCAGCAGCGGCGGCGCCGGCCGAGCCCGGGGACCCGGGAGGTCCCGGAGCCGCCGGTGCGGGCGGAGCGGGGCTGAACCCGGCGGCGAGGGGCGGCCCCCGGCCCCGACCCCTCGGAGATACCCCGGGTGGGAGCCGGAGGAGCGGCTCGGGGGGCCGGGGAAGGGGTCTGGGTCCTGCCTCTCCCCCTACCCTGCGTGGGGTGTCACCAGCGCTCGTTTTCCGCCCCAAAAGAACTTCCCCGGCTTGACKTTTCCTTCTTTTATTGGGATTTTTTGCGGGCGCGGAGCGGGCGGCGGAGCGGAGCTGGCGCTGGTCCCATCCCTGTCCCTTGTCCCCATCCCTGTACCCTCCGGGGGTGCCCCAAAGCCCTGCTCGGCTGAGGAATGAACGGGACAGGGTCCTTCGGCTCGGTGTCACCCAGGGGTGCTCCGGGGGGCCGAGATCCTTTGGATGACAGCGGGGACACTGGGGACAAGGGGGCTGGGATGGCTTTTTTTCGGGGCTGCGGCAGCTCCTGCCTCCCGTCGAGGCGCTGGAAAGGGCCCAGGAGGGGCGGCCGTGACTCAGCCCCACGTGACGGAGCTTTCGAGGTTYGCAGAATCGCCGGCCCCGCTGCTGGCCCCGTTCCCGGCTGCCCCCGATTGGGGCTGGCTCAGCACTGGCCGCGATTTCAGGAATTTCCTGGGGCGGCGTTCCAGCGCTGGGGGCTGCCACATCCCGCTCCGAGATGMCTTAAAGGCGCCGTGGCCTTTCCCGGCACGAACCCCACCGGGAAGATGTGTCCTCTCGACACCCCACAACTGAAATGGGGTCAGCAGCGGGGCCAAAGCCACCGAGCACCGATGGGACAGTCCCCTCCAGGGCAGTGCCACTGTCCCCGTGTTCCCGGAGTCCTTCCCACAGGAATGCTACCAATGAATGTCACCCCACCTGTGCTGGAGTCTRGGATTTCCTGGCTGAACCTCCTCASGCTGTCACGGTCCCACTCTCGGGTGTGTCCAGATGTCTCTGCACGACCCCATCCTCCCCCAGTGTCACCTGCGCTGCTCRCTCCCTGTCACCTGTGGGGGACAACCCCTCCTGCACACCCCCGGTGTCATGTGGGGCCAGGAGCTGCAGGTCCAGGGCTGCCCCCTGCTGGCTCTGGATGGTTCCAGAAGGTTCCAAAAGGTTCTAGAATGTCCTCGTGGTGCCAGGGTGATCCTTTGTGACACAGGAACTGTGCTGTGCCCAGACCTCAGTGTGACCCCAAAGGGTTCAGGGCTGTTCTCAGGAGCTCCCGGGATCCCTCGGTGGCACAGGATGGAGATGTCCATGGAGAAGGTGAATCCCAACTCCCAGGGGCTGCGGAGCTTCCAGTCCCAGGAGGGACAGGGGATGTTGGCCACGGAGCAGGAATTCTGCGGTCCCAAAGGGCTGTGCCAAGGGGGACAGGGCACAGATCCACAGCGATGCCGAGGGCACGCAAAGATATCCCAAGGGATGAGTCAGGGGCACGTCCATGGATACAAAGATGTRTCCCAATGGCTGGGCTTAATCACCCAGGAGATGTCCCAAATGGAAAAATTCATCGACCAGGAGYTGTGCCGAGAGAAAGGCAGGAGAGATCGGGAACTGTGCCAAGGACAAGGCAACAGGGACAAGGATTTGTCCCAATGGGAAAAATTCACCAGCCAAGAGYGGTGCCAAGGGGAACCCAATGGATCCCAAGAGATGTCCCGTTGGGAAGACCCCACTGACCAAGGGAAAGCTGAAATATCCCAAAAGCGGTGCCTGTGGGAAGCTGAGAGAGAACCAGAGCAGTGCCAAGAAGTCAAGGGATATAGAAGTCTGTCCCAATGGGAAGACTTGATCAACCAGGAGATGTCCCAAATGGAGGAGTTTATCGACCAAGAGCTGTCCCAAATCAAAGATTGCATTGATCAAGAGATGTCCCAAATGGGAAATTCCATCAGCCAGGAACTGTGTCAAGGAAAAGCCAAGAGACATCAAGAACAGTGCCAAGGGGAAGTCAACGGATCCAAAAATTTGTCCCCATGGGAAGAACCCATCAAGCAAGGGATGTCCCAAATGGAAGAGGCATTCCAAATGGAAAAACTCATGCAGGACACATCCCAAATGGAAGAACCCATCAACCAAGGGATGTCCCAAATGGAAGACCTGATCCACCAAGATCCATGCCAAGGAAAAGCCAAGAAACACCAACAACGGTGCCAAGGAAACGCCAACAGATACAAAAATCTGTCCCAATGGGAAGATCTAATCCACCGAGAGATGTCCCAAATGGAAGAATTCATTGACCAAGAGATGCCCCCAATGGAAGAATTCCCTGACCAAAATCTGTGCCCAGAGGAAACCAAGAGACCCCCACAGCAGAGCCAGGGGGAAGTCAACCAATATAAAAGTCTCTCCCAATGGGAAGAATTCATCAAGCAGGAGATGTCCCAATGGGAAAGGCTTTAGTGACTGAGAGCGGTGCCAAGGACAATCCCATGGARCAGGGAACCATCGGTGCTGGGATCAGCATCCTCCAGCCCTGCCCATCCCAACCCCCCAGGCCTTTCCTATATCCACAGCTGCTCTCCAGACCCCAGCACTGATCCCACTGCAGGAAGTTCAGCATTCCAGGAGTTCATCCACGTTTCCCCTTCCCCACTAAATGGGGAGAAATGGTTTGCACGTGCTCCCCAAAAAGGTAGCGGGTGCCACGTGTCCCAGCCATGAGCAAAGGGAATAAAGGAATTGTTTGGGTTGGAAAAATCCTCTGATACCTCGAGCCAAACTGTGCCCCGGCTCTGCCCAGGCCACCACTGACCGTGTCCCCAAGTGCCACAATCATGGGGCGTTAAATCCTTCCAGGAATGGGGACTCCACCACTATCAGGGCAGGACAGCCCTTTCCAAGAAAAAAATTTTCCCAATATTCAACCTAAACTTCCCCTGGCCCAGCCTGAGACCGTTCCCTCTCATCCCATCCCGTTCCCTGTTCCCAGATCCCAATTCCCACCTGGCTCCAGCCCTTCAGGGAGTTGTGCAGAGTCAGAAGGTCCCCTCTGATCCCCTCTTCTCCAGGCTGAGCCCCTCTCCCAGCTCCCTCAGCCGCTCCTGGGGCTCCCAGATCCTTCCCCAGTTCCTTCTCTGGACTCCATCCATCCATCCCTGTCCATCCATCCATCCATCCATCCATCCATCCATCCATCCATCCATCCATCCATCCATCCATCCATCCCTGTCCATCCATCCATCCATCCATCCATCCATCCCTCCATCCCCTGTGTGACCCAGAGTTACCAAACCCCAAGGAACAGCCCCAAACACAAGCCCTGGGGTAACTATACAGTAAGAACATTTATTTCCTGGGGACACTGGGAACAGCCTCTCCCACGTSGCATGATCGGGGACACGGATCCAACCCCCACCGCGTTTGGGTTTTGTCTGTTCCCAGCTCCAATTTTTTACACCAGGGGTGCTCCTTCCTGACCCCAAATGGCAAAAGAAATCCCAAATACACAGAACCGACTGGCCCCGAAGGGTCATTCCAGGGAAGGTCCTTCTGTGCTCCCATCACCTGGAGCTCGGCTCTTCCTCGCTGTTATCCTGCTGCTTGGCCATGAATTTCTGTGGGAGCAAAGGGAGAAGAGATGGTRCTGTTGGGATATTCCAGAATCATCCCCTAAAACCAGGAACACCAGGGTCAGGTGGGATTTGTCCCAAAACACCCCAAATTTGGCACTCAAGATGACATCTTGGGAATGTGGCCGAATCTCAGGGATCAGGATTCCCCACAATCTGGGCATCAAATAAAAATATTCCGTATTCCCACAGGCCATGTATTCCCAAATCCCATGAACTCCCAGGGAATTCTCCACACCCCTGAATCCCAGGATTTGGGGGGATATTCCCATTTTCCTGGGTGGTACCTCCATGTTCTGCCGGTGCAGGGGCGTCCTGCAGTGGTTGATCATGGAGGGTTCGTCGGCGTAGAAGAGGGAGCAGATCTGGCAGAAGAATCCAGCTTTGGGAACCAGGATGTCCAGAGCTGAGGATACACCACAGTCACCACACCCCGCTCCCAGAAATGTTCCAACCTCACCTTCCTTCAATTTGGGATTCCTCAGGGGGAAATCGCAGTTCTTTTAAGATTCCAAAAATCGGGTTTCTCACCCAAGCTGGTTCCTGCCCTCTTTCAAGGAACAGGTTATCCCCATTTCCAATAAACTTGTAGTTTTCTGGGAATGGAGCAATCAACCCCATGGAGGTTGGAGCAGTTCCTGAAGGAATGACCCCATGAAAGTTGGAGCAGTTCCTGAAGGAATGACCCCCTGGAAATTGGAGCAGTTCCTGAAGGAATGACCCCCTGGAAATTGGAGCAGTTCCTGAAGGAATGACCCCATGGAAATTGGAGCAGTTCCTGAAGGAATGACCCTATGGAAATTGGAGCAGTTCCTGAAGGAATGACCCCATGTAATTCAATCAATCTCTACACTCCCATTTCACAGCTCTGGTAAACAATTCCCTCCTTTCCTAAAGTTAGGAATACAAATCACCACRGGATGGGAACACTCAGGAGATACCACACAGTGCTGGGCTAATATTCAGWAATTCCACCAGTATTTGAAAATTTTAAGGAAAAAAAACACTTTCCGTGTGAGGCTTCCAAGTTTAACCAACTGGTTCAACACAGATTTGGAGGAGACAAAGGAAAAAACCACAGATTTTGGGCCCTGACTTTGAGGTTCACTGTGGTTGTGAGGCATGGAAGGAATTTCCAAATGGGCAGGAAAGAATGTTCCAGCCTGGAAAACGCGGAGTGTTTGTGGTGGTTTCTCTGGATTTACCTTTGGGAGTGCTCTGTGTCTTGGGGACGCMTGGAAAAGCTGTTTTCTTCTGCTGAGACTTTGGTTCTGCATCTCCTGATCCCAGCTGAGCTGCTGGAGAAAGAAATGCACGTTGGAATGGGATCRTGGAATGATGGAATTGGATCGTGAAATGATGGAACAGAATCACAGAATGATGGAATTGAATCGTGGAGTGATGGAATGGGATCATGGAATTATGGAATAGGATCATGGAATTGTGGAAGGATGGAGTGGAATCATGGAAGGATGGAACGGGATCACGGAATGAAGGAATGGGATCATGGAATGGTTTTGGGTTGGGAAGAACCTAAAGGACATGGACAGGGACACCTTCCACYRGCCCAAGTGGTTCCAAGCCCCAAATGACCTTGCCTTGAGGCTCCTCACCTTTTGGCTTGGAGATTTCAGCCATTTCCTCCTCTGGACTGGTAACTCCCAGAATTCCCATTTCTTCCGGTCCTGCAACGGCGACGATATCTTCATCGTCTTCATCCTCGGGCAGGTTTTTCCCAGGGAAAGCGTTTTCTTCTTCCTCATCCCCGACTTCATCGACTGTAACAAAGTTGAGTTCCTCTTTGAGGTGATTGAAGTCGGCCAGGAAATCATCCTCATCCTCGTTAACCTCATCCAGAGTCACCAGGGGATTGTCCTCGTTGTCCTCCTGGATCTCGTCCACGGTCACCAAGGCGTTGGGATCGTCGGGCACCTGGGAGGCCGCGCAATCCCCGGGATTGCCTTTCCCCTCCTCGGCGCTCAGCTCTGCCGGTTCGTTCAGGGGCAGCTCCTCCACCTCCCCGATCTCATCCACCGTCACCAAGGGCTCGGCCTTCAGATCCCGCTCCTCGAATTCCGCCCGGGGCCCGTCCCGCTGGGATMCGGGCTCCTCCTGCTCCGAGATCTCGTCCAGCGTCAGCAGCGCCTGCGGATCCTTCACCGCTTCCGACAGCTCCTCCTCTTCCGCCACCTCATCCACCACCACCAGGCCCTGGGGGTCGACGCCCGGCAGCGGCACCGGGGCGTCCTCCTCCTCCCCGATCTCATCCAAGGTGACAAAGGACAGCTCACCTTCGGCCGCGCTCGCTCCGGAGCTCTTCCCTTTCCTCCTCTTGGGCGCCGGCTCCGAAGGGGTGGCTTTGGGCCCTTCTTTTCTCTTGCCCCTGGGGGGGTTTCGCCGCGTGCTCACCGGGGACTCGGCTTCCTCCACCACCTCGTCCACCGTGACGAATTCGTCCAGRTTAAACGGGAAGAGCTCCTCTTCCTGGGAACAGAAAAAGATCGAAACATCATTCCTGGGAGAAACATCCACACATTGRATCCAAGAGGGAAAAAAAAATCCCCAAATTTAATTTGAGGGTGAAAAAAAAGTGTTCAGGGCTTCGATCCYAGCATTTGTGCTGAGTAATTAATTTAATTGAGCTAAGGTTTAGCTCAGGAACCCAAAGCCCTTTGCAAAATTGCAGCGGATCAATAGGTCATAAAATAAAGTGAGTAAAATTCARTGGGTAAAATTCAGCAGATGAAATCCAGTGGATAAAATCTAGTGGGTAAAATCCAATGGATAAAACCCAGCAGATGAAATTCAGTGGATAAAATTCAATGAATAAAATCCAATGGAAAAATTTCAGTGGATAAAAATCAATAGATAAAATTCAATGGATAAAATTTAGTTGGTAAAAATCAATGAATAAAATCCACTGGATAAAACTCAGTGGATAAAAATGGATAAAATTCAATGAATAAAATTCAGTGGGTAAAAATCAATGAATAAAGTCCACTGGATAGAACTCAGTGGATAAAGGTCAATGGATAAAATCCAGCAGATGAAATTCAGTGGATAAAATGCAATGGATGAAATCCATTGGATAAAATTCAATTAATAAAATCCAGTGGAAAAAAATCTCAGTGGATAAAACTCAGTGGGTAAAGCTCAGTGGGAAAAATCCAACAGAAAAAAAATCAACGGATAAAATCCAATGGATGGAATTCAATCAATAAAATTCCTTCCAGTTAGAAGATCTGGGTCTAAATGAATGGATGCCTCACCCCAAATGATGCCTCTGATTCCTTCMGTCAATAATTCCAATTTTTTGTTGCTTTTTCCTCCTGAAATATTCCACACCACCCTCAAATTCCGGTAGATATTTAACACAGGAAAAGGGAAAAAACTCCTGCCCAGCTGAATCTGAAGGCCAAGGTGAGATGGAAGCAGGAAAATAATCTGAAATTTAAAGAGTTTGTGCCCTTTCCTCCTTTTTCTTTTTAAAATCCTAAAGAATATCAGGAATAAAGTGCTTCCCAATAGTCTCAGCTCCGTGAGCCTGGAAACAGTGACCGAGAGATCCAAAGGGAAACCAATCCCAAAGGGATTCCAGCATCTCAAAGTTCATGTCACTGACACTGGATGCAAGAAGGGCAGGAATTTGGTGATCCTGCTGTGGAGAGAGGGGGAAGATTCCCAAGAGCAGCACCCAGGAGTGCTGTCACAGAATCCTGGAATGGTTTGGGYTGGAAAAGACSTTAAATCKCAYCCAATCCCACTCCTGGGAGCCAGTCCAGGTGGCTCCAAACYCCATCCAACCSACTCTGGRACATCAAAATTCCACTTTCCCATACCCTGTGTCCTTTTAATCCCATGGTTCCATCCTTACCTCCTTCTGTTTCCCACCAGTGCCGCTTTTCCAAGCTGCAGCACCGCCCCTGCCGGGAGCCTGCGAAAGGAGACCGAAAATTCCTATGAAATCCTGGGAAATCCCAACAATCGCCAAGCTCAGCTATCTCTGGCCTCGAGGAGCTGCTTGGGGTCATCCCCACGGCCACTCCAGGGATCTGCCACTGCCAGTGACACCGGGCTCAGGAGCCCCTTTTCGGTGGCTGAGGTCTGCAGAGAGAATTCCAGCTGCTTAGAGGACACGCAGCTCATTCCTTCTGCTCCGGAGCTACTCCAAGGAATTCAGTCAGGACACAACTCCTAAGGTAGCCCAGGGATTTATGGAAAAGGGAAAGGGAGCACGATCCCAGTATCCTGGACCGGGAGAAGCACAGGGAACACCGGCATTCCTCACTCCTCACCTGATTGCCACCAGGCTCTTCCTTCGTGCTGGATATTCCGCTCTCTCCCTCCTGGCACTGCTTTGAGCCAGCCCTGGATTCCCCCTGGGAGTCCTTTTCCTGCTGGGATGAGCCCTTCCCGCCATCTCCCTGTCCATCTGATCCTGAATTTCCATTCCCTCTCCCTTGGCTGCTCTCAGATCCCGGCTGAGCTGTGGCTTTGGATGGGATTTTCTTCTCCGCCCCTGCTTGGCCCCGGGGTTCTGTTTTGGGGGGGATTTTCTGCTCCCCGGCTTTTCCCAAGGAAGGCTCGCTGATCCTCACAGGAATTCTCTGCTTGAGGATATCYGGGACAGACACCACCGCCTTCAGGAGGGTTTTGCCAAGGCAGGATTCCTTGAGGGATGCAGTGGGATTTAACGGAGCTGCCGGGCAGCTTTCGTCGGGTTTGGCAGCTGCCGTCCCTTTATTTTGGTGAGGTTTTACCGAACTTCCCGTGTGGCCGTCACCAACGGCATTCCCAGAGTTTTCCACGGCAGTCCCACCCTTGGGTGATGATTTTCCAGGTGGTTTCTCTGGCTCCACCCCAGCCTTSACCAAACTCTTCCCGGGATTTTCCCCCGCAGCTTTGGGCACGGATTCCTCCGCCTTCGCTTCCCTCTCTGCTTCATCTGCATCCGATTTTTTCCCCGGACCCTCTGTGGTTTTAGGGACAGTTTTCCTCTCTGTTGATGGTTCCTGGCTGTTTTTCCCAGCCTCGGGAATGGGAGTTTTTTCCAGAGTGTCCAGCTCCTTGCTCGGCTGRGTGACACCGGGTGACGCCGGATCCACGGAAGCCTCATCCAACCTCGGGGACGCCACTCCAGGGCCGGCTCCCGGGATCGCTGCTGGCTCCCCTTCAGCCTTGCTGGATGATTCCACAGGTTCCATGGCAGGAGAAGACAACTCCTCATCCTCCTTTTTGATTTCCTTCTCCGCAGCAAACTCTGGCTCGGGATGAGCCTCTTCCTTCCCCGCTCCAGAAAGCGCCGCCGGATTCGCTTCCAACCCCGCTCCAGGCGATTTGGCACCAGCAGGAGCCACAGGAACTCCAATCCCAGGATCCACACCCTCCGTGTCCATCCCTGTGGGTAATTCCCTCGCKGCTTCTCCTGGGTGGGACTCCAAAACCTTGTGCTGTCCCTCTGGAATCTCCTCCGGGACATTTGGGGTGGAAACAAGTCCTTTCTTTGCCGCCCTGGGCTCTCCTGATGGATTTGCAGCTGCTCCCCACGCTTCTGGAATTTTTTTCAAGCCAGGGCTAAATGCATTGAAAAGAAACAGAAGAAATCAAACCATGTGTGGAGAATTCTACAGTTTACCAAAAAGCTCTCGGTGCTACTGGCTTTTTCCTGGAGCATTCCCAGGAATCCCTTTGGGACCAGCAGCACAGGTTAGAAGGGAAATGAGGAAGGTTTGAGTGGTTGGGRATGGGAATAACAGAGCCAGGGATGAAGGGAAGAGCTGCAGGATGGAACTGAAGGTGCCTAAAATTATCCCGGCAGCACGAGGAGCCTGACACACCTGCCAGGACCTGAGCAGAGGACTAAAACCAAGGAAAACCCCACAGAAAATAGGATTTTGCCCCGTTTTYCCCATATTTTTTGGAGAGAATCCCAGATATTTTTATATACAAAGCACACAGATYGGGAAGGAGGAGCTCACAGTGGGTTTGTCCATGGAGCTGGGCACCCAAATCCCAAATCCCATCCCTTGGATGGACATTCCAAGAGGAAAAGAAACGGATAAAAACCCCAAAAACACCCACAGGCCGTACCTTCCTCTGCTACCTTCCTCTTTCTTCACTTCCCTTTTCCCACYTTCAGCCTGGAACAAAAAACCCAGGGTCAGCATTCGCCACTTCCAGAGGGATAAGTGCCAGACTCCCACATCCCACCAACCCCAAACGAGGCACCAGGAAGGCAAAACACCGGGAAATTGGTCTAAATCCCACTCCTGAAGTTTGGAATAAAACCCCTGGAATAAAACCCCTGGAAGTTTTTATCCCAGAACACCCCAGCGGCCATTCCCCCCTTGTCCCAAAACACCAAATCCCCTGGGAAATCCCAACCCCAGAACCTCTTTGTGGGAAGCTTTTTCCACCCCGAAAAAAAACCCCAAAAAGCCGGAATGCTGAGAAAATCAGGAATTTTACCTCGGGAATGTTTTCCATGGGGGACAGTGAGCAGGTGAGGGTGTGTTCCCCCATGGAATAGGGGTATTGCTGCAGGAAACTGTGCATGGCAYGGGCGGATTTGGGACTGTCCAGCTGCAGGATGGCCTGGGGGGAACAAATTCCCGTTAATTCCTCAGATTTTCCCAGTTCCCGGATAAATCCAGAGAATTCCTAAAATCTGCTGGAAATTCCTGCTTTTATCCCTTCAGGTTTTAACCTTAAAAAGGGTTAAAATCACCTTAAAAGGTCTCRATTTGTGCCCTAAATATGGAAATATTTTGATTTTTCCTTGCTCTTTTTTTATTTGAAAAACATTTTCCTGTTTTTTTGGGATTTCATGAACATTGGCCTTGTTTTTTTGGAATTTAAGAAATATCTGCTGCGATTTTTGGGGATTTCAACAATATTTTCCTGCTTTTTTTTAAATTTTAAGAATATTTTCTTAGATTCTTTTTGGATTGCAGGATTTCAAAAACATTTGCCTCGTTTTTTTGGGATTTCAAACACATTTCCCTCTTTTTTTTTTGGATTTCAAACACATTTCTGCAGCTTTTTGGGATTTCAACATTTTCCTAAATTTTTTTTTATTTCAACATTTTCCTCATTTTTTTCCCCAACATTACCATTTTGTATATTTTTTTTCCCAACAATATTTTCTTCATTTTTTTGCGATTTCAATTACATTTTCATCGTTTTTTTTTAAATTTCAAAACAATTTTCCTCTTTGGATTTCAAAACGATTTCCCTCCTTTTTTTTGGGGTTTCAAGAACTTTTTCCTGTTTTTTGTATTTCAAAACCTTGGATTTTCTTTTATTTCAAATGCATTTTCCTAGGCTTTTTTTGGATTTCAAAAATATTTTCCTCATTTTTTTTGGATTACAAGCACATTTTTTCAGTTTTTTGGGATCTAAGAATATTTTAATTTTGAAATCCTCCTGTTTGATGGTTTGGTGACAAAAGGACCCAAAATAATCGGTGAAAACACAAGCAGAATTCCATTTAATTGGAATGAAATAAATTAATTAAAATCCACATGCAGGGATTCCATTGGATTCCTCCAATTAAAATCCAAGGAGAATTGCAATATCGGAATTCCTTTTCTTAAAAATTAAAAATAAAAACATTAAAAATTTGAAAATTTAAACAATTAAAATTAAAAATATTAAGCTAAATTTTTTTTAAAAAGAAGCAGTCACTACTGAGTGTCCCACGCCAAAAATTTTATCAATTCTGACATTTCCACTCCTTAAAAATTCTGTTTTCTCCCAAATTTCTCCTAAAAAAATCAAATTTCCCCCCCCCCCAAAAAAGTCGCTTTGCACCATAAAAACCGATTTAATTTTTAATTAAACGAATTTTACCCTGTTTTTATTCTTCAACACCACATAATGATCRACTTTTCCAAATCGAAGTCCCACACAAACCACTTCCAATTCCCGGTATCCGTCGTCCGGGAGATTCCCGAGGTACACGAACTGCTGCTGGATGGATTCCGTGTTCACCTACAAAAATTTGGGATAAAAAACCCCCCATTTTTAATACTTTTTCAAAATAATTTAATTTTTTCTCCTTTTATATAGGGAGAAAAGCCCCACAGACAACATGGGTGAATTTTGGAATAAATCCTAGAATTTTTGGGGGATCGAATTCCAAAGGATTGCACCACAGATTCCCAAAATCCCAAATAATTTGGAGCTTTAATATTTGGGAACTGGGTGTGTTTTAGGGTTGGTTTGTGCCCAGGAAGGAGCACATGTTCCCAGGAATATTCCCAATTAGAAATTCTTTGGGGATTAATTTCTTCATTAATTTCTTCATTAATTTATTCATTAATTTATTGCTTGAAATGTGCTGTTTTTTGGGGTTTTTTTAACCAAATTCCACTGTTTTTAGAGTCATTCCTGCACCAATAATCCCAAACTTTCACCTCTGAGGAAATTCCATTTTATCCTTTATTTTCACAGCAGAAATAAAGGATAAAAATGCATTTATCCCAAACTGCACCACACAGGAATGCTGAGGATGAGGATTCTCAGCTCCCAAAAAATATTTAATTCCAGAGGAAACTTGGATAATGATAATAAATGAACAGAAAATTCAGGATAATGAGGAGGGACTCACCTTGGGGTCAGAATCTTTAATGAGGGCAGTGAAAATCGCTTCCTTTAAAGAGAAAAAAAAAATTAAAGCTGTAACATAAAATAAAATAAAATATATAACAAAAACAATAATAGCAATAAGAGTAATATAATAACAATAACAAATAATGAAAAACAATGATATTAGTAATAATAAAAATTAATAAAGTAACAATACAGCAATAATAATAAAAACAGTAATAAATGTAATAGTAATAACAATGACAAAAATACAATAATAATAATGAAAGTAATAATAGTAAAAATTACAATGAAATAGTAAAAACATAATAATATAAAATTGCAATAAATGTAATACTAATAACAAAAATACCAATAACAATAATGAAAGTAATAATAAAAATTACAATAAAACAGTAAAAACATAATAATAAAAAAATAAAAACACAATAGTAATAATCCTGAAAATAATAGACAATAATAACAAATAATGAAAACCAGTAATAGTATAATTGTAATGACAGTARGAATAGTAATAATCGCAAAAATAGTAATTATTAATAATARAAGTAATTAATAAAAGTAATAATATTAATAATAGTATTAKTAATAGTATTAAAAATAGTAGCAATAGTAGTAAAAAAWWAAAAMMAWWAWWAAAAWWAMMAAAAWWAAAAAATAATTATAGTAATAACAATTAATAATAAAATATAATAGAAATAATAAAAATAGTAAAACAAAAGTAATAACAGTAATAACAACAATAAGGAACAATGAAAAACAATATTTATAATAACGATAATGACATAATAATAATATTAATAGTAATAATAATAAAACATGATAAATAGTAACAACACCAATAATAATAAAAATATCAATAAATTATGTAAATAATAAAAGTAATAATAGTAAAAATAAAAATTACAATAAAATAACAATAAAAATATAATAAAAAAAAATTGTGTCACTCACATCAAATCAGAATCCCAAAAAACACTGAATCAGAGAGCAATCCTCTGGAATAAACCCCTTGTTTTAAACACTGGGCAGCACTGAAAATTCACTTTAAATCCCAAATTAAATCCCAAATCCTGCTCTGAACAGAAACCTGGAATTTTTTTCCTGGAATTCCCATGGATTTCYRGACTCACCTCCTCCTTCACACTCCTGTACTGGGGTGCCAGGCTGATGCAGAGCTGATTCCCATCCAGGAACATCGGGAAGCAGCTGTAAAACTTCACCATGGAATCAGCAGCATTTCTGTTGATCTCCACGTAAGCCTGAGAAAAGAGCCCAAAAAAATCCCAAAAAAAAGCAGGATTTATCCAAGGAATCTCCAACAATGCTTCCCACACCTCCTTACAGGTATTTAGGATGCTTTTCCAGGGGGAAATCCCATAAAATCCCAAGGGAAATACCTTTTTCCAGAGGGAAATCTCATAAGAAATACCTTTTTCCAGGGGAAAATCCCAAAAAATCCCAAGGGAAATACTTTTTTCCAGGGGGAAATCCCATAAAATCCCAAGGGAAATACCTTTTTGTGGGAGGAGAGGATCAGCATATCCCGCAGACCTCCGAAGGGTTTGGCCAGGTTGGAAATTTCCTCCACGGAATATCCTTTGTCGGGAAGGTTGGAAATGAGCACCACGCACATCTCATCGGGGTCCTGGCAGGAAAATTTATGGAATTTTTAGGGATTTTTCTCCTTCCAAATCCAATCTGATTGCTCAGAGCTGGTTGCTTCATTCCAAGGAAAATTGGGATGGGATCAGAGCATCCTGGGATTGTGGGAAGTTCCCTGCCCATGGGAAGGGTGGGATCAGATGGGATTTAAATCCCTTCCACATCCCAAATAATTTCAGTTTTTTCTTCCCAGAAATAAACAGGGAAAAGATTGAAATTCCTATAATTCCCACAATTCCTGCAGTTCCCACTGACCTTCTTGGCTGGATCTGGYGATTCCTCGTTCTCTGTGGGCGTTGGAGGCTCTGAAAAAAACAGAATAAAAGAGTTCAGCCCTTGAGAATTCCTTAAAAAACTCAGGGATTTAATTTCCCTGCATTTCATTTTATCCCTTGTGAAAAAAAAAAAAAATGTTCAACATTCCTTTAGGAGTGATACAACCTATTGGTGAGTTTATTCTCCAAACCATTCCAGGATTTTGGGATTCTGTAGCTAATTTTGGTATTTTCAGATTCCATCCCCTGGAATTCCTGTGTCATTCCCAATTTCCAGCCTCTCAGCCCATCATTAACCCAGCAGAGTTCTGAACCAATTTTCCAATTTTCCCCCTTTAATCGAAACTTTCCCCCACCTCAAACGCTTTCCCTGATCCATAAATCCAGGAGACATCCCAAAGTGGGATTTCCCACCCTACAGCTGGAAAAACCTCTGGAAATTTCCCTCATTTTCCTGGAATCACCTGCTGCAGGTCCAGGATYAGGCTCAGTCTCCGGAGCATCCCCAGGCTCGGTGATCCCGTCCTGTTCYGTGGAATTTTTGGGATCTGTCTCTTTTTGGGATTCCTCAACTTCCATCCCGGGTTCTGCTGGAGCCTGGGAATCTTCATCCTGAGGTTTTGCTGGTGGGAAAAAGGATCATTTGTTCCAATTCATTAATTGATTAATTAATCCATTTGGAAAAGCGGGATGAGCCAAAGGATTTTGTGTCTTCCCATAAAATAAAGCCCTCCTCTTCCTTAAAAACGGACAGGAAATGTTCCTACAGGGAAAACTTTGGGAAAAAAGGGAATACCTGGGGATGGGAAAGATCCACTTTTCCCAGCTCACCTCATTCCCTGCTATTTTTTTTTTCTATTCCCAAAAAAACCAGCACCAGATTCCTGGAAATTCCCCTATGGAATAGGCAAGGCTGGGAAAAATGGGAAAATTTAGATTTGCTGCCCGGAATTCCTTTTTTGGGAAGGGGCAGGAAAGCAGCTGATCCCATTTTCCAAGGGAAGGATCCAACATTTCCCTCCCCTCACCTGCAGTATTTGARGTTTTCTTGACTTTTCGCTCGCCAGGCGCTGTCGGTTTCTTGAGTTTTTCCTTTTTCCCTACAAAAAATTCCCAAAAAAACCCAGGATCAGAAATTTCGGATTATTTATTCTTCCTGAAGAATATAAAATCCATAAAAAAATCCAGATTAATCTGTAGGACATCAATGGACATGACAAAAAAAACCATCCCAAAATTTAAATTAATTCTAAAAATGTGCTTGAAAATTAATTTAAAAAAAATGTAAATTTTTAAACCCCACAAATTTCCATGAAAGAGCAATAAAATAAATTAATATAGAAAATTAATTCATTAATGAAACCAATTAATTAATTAATTAAGCCCCACCTGTCACGGGTTTGGGTGTCTTGGTGCTGGTGGTCGGAACTTTTCTGTCAAGAGGATAAAAAATACACAAAAAAATCAGTTTTAAAAATAATTAAAAAATATTAAATTCAATAAAACACAGGTCTGAGCCCATCTGGTTCCCAATTATTGTAATTAACGCTAATTAACTGAAAGGCAGCTCTTACTTGGTGCTTGTTGCAGTTTTTTTAGTGTTCAGAACTCGTTTTTTCACCGTTTTTTTGACCTGGAATGGGGAAAAAAATTGTGCTTTATTTATAAATAKAAATCTGGAATGATGAACTGCACTTCCATATTTATTTTCCCCCCCAAAAAATGGGGAAATCTGGAATGAGAAAGCGCACTTCGCTTTGACCAAAAAACCAGGAAAACATGGAATGAGGCAGTGCACTTCCACATTTATTTTTCTCAGAAAAAGTGGGAAATTTGGAATGAGGAATTACACTTCCATACTTCTTTTCCAAAAAAAAAAGGGAAAATCCAGAATGAGGAAGTGGCCTTTCATTTTTACCAAAAAATGGGCAAATTTGGAATGAGGAAGCACAATTTCCACCTTTATTTTTCCTGAAAAAGGGTAAATCTAGGTGAGAAAATACGCTTCCATTTTACAAAAAAAAGGGAAATTTGGGATGAGGAACTACACTTCCATATTTATTTTTCCCCCTAAAAATAGAGAAATCTGGAATAAGAAAGCGCACTTCGCTTTGACCAAAAAA